GTATATGCAAACACACATTTATAGTTATCAATGAAACACTCTTGCATTTTTTACTTCAGCACGTTGTTTCAGCAAATACCGGTTCATTAATTTGGGATCTCAACTTTACAGACAAATAAACAGCTGATATACAGACACTTTAAGGTTACAACCGCCGGTATTATCAATTAAAAAGTCAGATTGATAAACCAACAATATCAATAAAAGCCAAATTACTTTTTAATTACACTCACTGCAGGAGAATCAATTTGCAACGCAAGTTACGTCAGAATTAACACCGTGCCGACGCTTCGATGTTAACATAATAAAACAAAAATATTTAATTTCCTTTTAGATAGCTCGGAGCAAGCAATAAAATCTAATTAATTTAATTATGAAAATTTCGAGTCGCATTTTTGAGAAAACCTGTGTTCGACCAACGCAAAAAATTGGAAAAAATATTATCTTAATCTATTGATTTTGAGTGCCTCGTCCGAGTCACGACTGTCGAGCGTAGTACATGTTGTGTTCGCGTTTTGAATCGAGCAAAACGTTTAGTATCAGGTACTTTGCCGACTTCAAAAAAAAGGAGGAGGCACTATGTTCGGCTGATTATTTTTTTATTTGTTCGCCGATTACTCCGCAATTTGTGAACCGACTTCCAAAATTATTATTTTATTTGTAAGGGTGATGATGGTCCCATTTCCATGAAGTCAGGATCTGATGATCTAATTCTAGAAAAACCGAGGGCGAGTAATGCGTGTATTATATTTTTGGATTAGTATTCTTAAACACTAACAAAAATAAAGGTGGTAGACGTCTTAAAAAGAATTGAGTAACAAAAATGGCGTTGGACCGGTCATATGATGAGATAAAACAAGGAAAATGGTGCAAGAAAGTAACTGATGGGCATCCAAGGGACGATAAACGCAGCAGAGGAAAACAGTTAAAAAGATGGGAGGACGAATTAAGACTAACAGCGGGACCCAACTGGAGAAGAGTGGCCCGCGACAAAATTCAATGGAGACAGCTAGATGAGACCTTTGCCAAAGGCACACTGAATTAAGAGATTTTTTTTTATGGGGGGAAAATCATCGAATGACTGCTCCCGCCTAGATGAGGCGGGAGGGAGTGTCAGACTCTTACTGACTAAAACCACCACGTTCCTTCTGCTGCACGTCGAGCCGGAGCCCCGGTTACCCGTTAGGTTCTCCGCGACTAATTAAGCTTTTACCAACAACTTTTTTTGTAAAAATTTAGAATAAAGGGCTTTATTATTATTATTATATTTTTAAATACTACAATTTGATAAGGGTCTGGAGTCGACCTGATAATGGAGCCGACAGACAGTCGATGGAACTCCTCAACTGTTTATATTATCTACCTTGTGTTTGGGCTTGATTAATTGGTTTTAATGAGAACTTTACACTTTGTGCCGGTCATGACTTTCGCCGACTAGCCGGTTGTAATAAGACCGATTAGTCGGCCGACTAGTTGACTAAGCCGATTACGGTTGCGAGGATTTCCGTAACGCTTCGTTTACGGCTGATTCGCGCGCATCGCATACGCCGCCTGCGAGTGTGTCGGAACATGTTTTGTTTACTTCGCATTGTTCCTTCATTTTTGCTTGCGTAATGGTCGAGACCGGTGTTTTAAAGATAATTCTGTTATTTATTGAAGTGAACAAGTAGAATTAAAATTTAATCATGGCAAAAAGAAAATCTCGTGTATGGATGTCTTTTGGATAATTCGACAATGATTCACGTAAAGTTAAGTGTAACCAAGTGATAATTTCTCGTGGTGGGCAAGGAAAAACAGCTAACACTACAAGCATGAACAATCATATTAAATACAAACATCCATCTCTGATACCTCAGTTAGGTTCTGCTATCAAATGTTCAAGCACAGACGATTCCACCAAGTCTCAAATCTCAGCAGAAGAATTACCTAAAGCAGTGCCTACTTCGTCAACTATAGTGTCATCAGAGGTCGGTTTAAGTCATAAAAACCAACAAAATATTAAAGACAGCTTAACTGTACACTGGTCATTTGAAGACTTAAGATCAAGAGAAATCAATATTGCGATAGGTAAAATTATTGCACTTGACAACCAGCCAACACTTGACAATTGTTGATAATACAGGCTTTAGAAACCTGACGAGGAAACTTAAACCTAAATATAACATACCGGGCAGAAAGTATTTCACAGAAAACATTATTCCTCAACTTTACAAAGAGATTATAAATAAAATAAAATAATATATAATCAAGGTTTTTATTTCATGTAGTTCCCCCGCATGCATATTATTGAGAAATACATACAACGTAAGAAGCCGGATAGTCGGCGTTCTTTGCCGACTAATCGACGACTACAATAGTGGCCGTATAATCGGCTTTTTTATCACTTTTATACACTGCTTATATAAAGGCGTCCTATTTAGATTTAGGTAATGTAAGGGGTGTTCTTACATGTAAAATAGAACAAAACACAGATTATTTGCAATTCAAACAGTTCCTGCTCCTTAAAAATAATTTTACACAGCTAGAGACAGAAGATAAGCAAGTAACGACTTTGTTATAGATGGTAAACAAAATGTGTATAAAATTAGTGGCAATTTTTATTTATTCGTAAAAGTACAACAGGCACATCCGCTTTTCATCATTTATTTGTAACACAGAATAAGTTTCTAACCGTTACATTAGTACGTTACATAACTGGCTAAATATATCTACTTTTAAAAACTGGAATCTATCAAGGTAATTGACAAACGCGAACTAGTGACATTATTTGGTTTAGAAGCAATCACTGCTAGTTATTCTTGTTCCCCAGAATTTGGGTTGGCGGTATTTAAAAGGAAATTGCAGAGAACGAATTATGAATAATTTCCATTCCATAATATAAGGTTTTGACTGCCAATAGAAATCTGTTGAAGGCAAACCGTTAACGTCGATCACCGGAGATCCCCATGGCGTTTAAAGTGTTAAGTAAATTTCGATTAAAAAAATACAAATTTACAGAGTACATTGGTATAGTAGGACAGAACAGTTAAGGCTATAAGTAAGCAGGTTCCTATTCTAGAATAGATCAGTTGTGTTATAAGTGTATTTATGTTATGGTTCACTAGTATTCATTGTACTTACTGCTCATTTATTTAACCAACATAGATAGAAACTTGTAATTTGCTGTTGGTCTAGATCAAGTAGTCTATACAGACTACTACTACAGAGATAATAAAACTGTAGAAGTACATTCTGTACATTGAAAAGATTAATTAAATTAATAGTACTGTGTTACTAATGTGATTAAAAAAATGTTGTCTATCTGTCTGGTTGTCTGTCTGTTTGTCTATATGTTCACGCATCACGTAAAAACTATCGGTCCGATTACGATGAAACTTGGTATGATTATACTTTAATATCCTGGACATCACACAAATGCTATATTATGGTTTGGAGTAACACATTGGCTACTTATATATCTTGCATAATATCAGACTGTCTGATAAGAATACGTCTGAGACAGACATATTATGTTTCACTCATTATTTATTTACAATTTAAAGCAGATGAACTCACAGGTAAAACTAGAAGAATAATAATAATAAAATTATTTATTTGATCCCAGATCATTTGCGTAATTATTGTTTTCTCGGCTGTATGATATTTATTTTGCGGAATGCCCAATTATACCACGCCCACGAGGATTGTTCTGGCTGTAAAGACGAAATTTCTTTGTAGTCTACTACCTGTGATTAACTTAAAAATAAGAATATTTATTTCCAGCATTGTTGGTTAAGTGAAATTGCGAATATTGAGGGTTCAATTCTTGGTTTCATAACAATGTGACAAGACATGTATTAGTTCCGAAGGAGACGCTTAACACAATTACAGTTTTCATATAGTTGGCTATTTGGAAATATTAAATGAGTATTTATGTACGTAGTATGTCGTATGCGCTGAGCACTTACTATCTATCTAATATTATTTGCATATTGTATTCCATGATAAAAACAAAAACTGCGTTTAAAAAAGCTAACTTCGAATACTAAAACCTATTGTTTAGGTATAAGGTCAAAAATAAAAAGCAAAAAATAACTATTATTAGTCAAACGTACTTATAGGTTACCCACCCATTGATAGGTAATTATATTACCTACGCTGTGTAAAATTTTATCACAAAATATAACCAGGACCATTAACCTAAGTTATATTTTGTTATGGGCTTGTGGCACCGATTTTTAACATATCAGTGGGTGGGTAACCTATAAGTACGTATGACTAAAATAATAGTTATTTTTTGCTTTTTAGTTTTGACCTTTTGCTTCTTTAGGTTTTGGTTTTCGAAGTCGGTTTTTTTAAACGCAGTTTTTGTTTTTATTTTATGCTTTTTAGTTTAGTCAAGGCTGTATAGACCCAGTATATTACCTATATCCCACATGAATGTAAAGTTCTTATCAAAACAAATTATTCAAGCTCAAACAACAGGTAAAAGGTTAATAGTAGCTATTAATCATTTATGAGTACCCTTAGCTATCGTACTACTTAATCATTAGGCCCCTAATGACAATCAAACCCCATTTAGGTGTAAAGTTCTCATCGCAACAAATTAATAAAGCCCAAACACCAAGTAGCTACTGTCAGCCGTTGAGGAGTTCCCTTAGCTATCATACTCTTTCATCATCAGGCCCCTAATGATAATCATACCCCATTTAGGTGTAAAGTTCCCATCACTTGGAATTAATCAAGTCCAAACACCAGGTAGGTACTGCCAGCCGTTGAGGAGTTCTCGTAGCTATCAAAATCCTTCATCATCAGGCCCCTAATGACAGTCATATCTCATTTAGGTATAAAGGTCTCATCACCACAAATTAATCAAACCCAAATACCAGGTAGCTACTGTTAACCGTTGAGGAGTTCCCTCAGCTATCATACTACTTCATTATTAGTCCCCTAATGACAATGAAATCCAACCTATATGTAAAGATCTTCTCAATACAAATAATTTAAGCCTGAAGACGGGGTCATGGATACAAATTCTCGAGGAGTTCCCTCGGCTGTCTCTTGACTCCATCATCAGATCGACTCCATACTTTCATCAAATTGTAATAGTTTCAAATACTATATAAAAAAATTAATAAACGCTCTCGCTGTCCATACAGTTTTGAAAAGTTCCCCTCGGTTTCCATGGGATCCCATCATCAGATCCCAACCTGGTGGAAATAGGTCCACCCCGAGAGTAAGACCTTTCCAACAAGAGAAGGATCATCAAATCTGTCCTCAAACGCCGGAAGAATCAGGTAACATACACACACAAAAAAGCATACCTACAGCCAAATCGATAACCACCTCCTTTTTGGGAAGTTGGTTAAAAAACAAACAAATTCAAATACCTATTTGTGTCATTTTCTAAACAGGTAACGATTAATAGATAGTCAAAGTTAAGACGACCTGATAAAGTCTAGTAAACTTTCAAAACTATAATCACAGTTTAAAGCACGACTAGTTAAAGTCTGAGCTAAACTTTAAACGAGGTTTAATTCTTAAATGATAGTCATGAAAAGGAGTTACCTTTGCTACGCAACTTACTTTGAACAACAACTCGGTTTCTAATTGCCAAAGAGCTAGGTCTGCAGATGTCTTGACTAACAAGCCACTCAATGTCAATAAAACGCAAAATAGAGAGCACATTTCATAATTATTGACATCAATCCGAGTCCGAATCTAGTTTACTGTCCATACCTATAATAATACTGATTGGTAACAATTTTGATATGAAATCATGAAATCATTCACCCGTGGCTTGATAACGGCTTCTAGCGCTTATCAATCCACACCGCTTCCAAACTCCTCTTCAATTACGGTTTGTTCGTGTTTTATAAAAATATAAATTAATTTGTAATATTCGTCTTTAGAGCTCATTGTTTGTTTACATGATTCATATCATGAGGCACAAGAAACCGAATCATTAATGTTTTTCTCAAATCGATTCATCTTCTTTTAGTTTAATTATTGATTTTTAATGATTTACTTTGGTGTTATGTGGTTTAATATTGTCCAACTGTGAGACCTACTACAGACATTTGTTAGATCAGTTTGAGGTGAGTGAAAACAACCTTTTCGGCAGCAGTTGTATCATTTTTATAACCCACTGGGCAAGCCGGTACACACTGAGTCCAATCCAGAACACATAAAACTATGAATTTCCCGAGACCCGATAATACCTTCCTCTTTTTGAGCAATGTAAATACTCTTCATCATATTTTACAACCAAAACAGTCGGTAGCATATTTACGTCTTTAAATAAATAACGAATTTGTTAATCCCAAGGAAGTTTGATACTTCCTCAGTCGGAGTTTTGGAGAAGTGTTTACGATGCTCTGTAGTGAAGGAGCCAACAGTTGATCTTTGAAGCGGAGGGTAATTTGTTTAAAGTTGGAATGATGTTGCAATGGCTCAATTATAATTAATGAGATCTTAACACGGCACAAAACGGCACGGCATAAAAGGTATGAATAGGTAAGAGTTGACGAATCAAGATCCTAAACAAAGCATCATCAGTATTTACAATACCTATATGTAAGTAAATAAGTACCTGAGACTGAGATTTTAAAATATGTATGTAAAAATATTATTTGGAATTTTTAATCTAAAGCTCACTTTTGAATGTTGCTCTCTCAGGTATTTAGCTGATGCAAATAACCTGTTCAGGTTATTTTGATAATGTAACTTTACCGAGATCGGATAGGAAAGGAATATCCGAATGCGCGACAGCGTCGACGTATGTGACGTAATTGACAAGCTGCTGCATCCTAGATAGAGAGCAAATGCAAGGAAATTTTGCTGGCAATTTCAATATTAAAGATATATTGAAACCTTAGATCGGTGTAATAATAATATAATCATAATTTTGATGGTATTAAGATGGTATAGCTGTCAATCACGTTAAACAGATTGTTAAATGTTAGGTTCGTATAATGCAGATTCGACATGAATATCTCAATACAAAAACGAGGTTTGTTTTCAAGAGTTAATTTTTTGCGAATATACATAGAACATTCATCACAAGCCAGAGAAACCAATTTTGAATAACGCTCATCTTAAAGTACATATATCATGCAAGGAACGTACAAGATGTGAAATATCTCATTCAAGCCGATGTTTAACATATAAATTGCTATCAATTTTTTTTAGATCTATATTTTCGTGGCTGCTCGACGAAGATAAGGCGAGGGGGCGCGCCAACGTGGTTTTATTGCCTAAATGCAGAATGATATCCCACTGGATGATAAAAAAGCGATTATGGAAGTCTTTTTAATACCTATGTGTGTACTGCAGAAGTGGATAAAGATTGGGAGTTTGATTTTATATTCCCTCGTAAAGGAGCAGTTTTAGTTGGATCGCTGTTAGATAATTCCTTTTTAATATTTTTGGTTTGGAACAAAAATGGCGTCGTTTACCTGAGGGACAATATTTTATTTCGTGATTTTTTTGTGTAGGCAGTTTAATATTGTGATCGTATAATATCGTGAATTATAACATAACTACACGTCTTTGTGTCGTATGGAAGACAAGGAGAGTAAACAGAAAGAAATAATCTCGAATCCAAAATTATAACACTATTTGGGTAGGCATTCATTTTTGTCGTACCGTGGGTATTTGAATGTTTTTCACTTTAACGACATTTCAAATTTATTACAAGAAAAAAAATAACTTATTAAAATATCTTTAGGTACGCGCTGCCGCGATGCGCTGTCACAAAACTAACACATTCGTTCGATTACTTTGATCGGATAAAAGTATCAAATTATAAAAGCCTGCTACTGGCAGCCACGTTGCCGAGTTGATGCTAGCTCGACGGGATTTCGTTAAGATAACGTTGTGATCGCCACCCAATCGCCGCGCGAACAAATTGACTCGATATTATTTCTACGTCTTTCGATATTACGAAATTGAATTAACTAAGTGACGGCGAATGTAAAATGGCTCAAAATTGCTATCAGACCGTCTCTAAGGGAATTTTTCTAATTGCTGTCCGATGTAATACCGGGGGCAAATTAATTTGTTACGTCGAACGACTTTACATAGGAAAATATAATTGTGTCCACTATTTACTACAATCAAGACGATGATTTTGTATTTAAATTTAGTAGATTTTTGTTCTTACTAAAGAAGAGGTAACTGAGATACAGCCACAAGAACCAGTACGACGACCAAACGAATAAACCTAATGAAACCGTCTATAACCAGTAAGTACAACAATTTAAATATGATCTTCATTGGTATAATAATTGAAACAGTAGAAAATTTTAAGTGATATCAAATGCATCGCACGATAACGTAGCAGTCTACTCGAACAAAGCTCATTGATAATGAATTTATTGATTCATAACAAATGATCGATCAATAAAACGTGTGTTTGAAATGAATAGGCTCCGAAACTACTGGTCCGATTTGAAATTTTTTTTACCTTGGAATCTTACATTATCGATGATGATCATAGGTTTATAGTGTATAACGGAACCGTTTCAAAATTTCGATAATGTAACCCGATGTCTGAAAAACTACCAAAAACTCCTTATACTGTTTTCAAGGGTTCATAATAGCATTTAGCTGTATCAAAATCAGGGATTAAAAAAAAATACGAATTCAAATACATTTTAATCATGGACAAGCTTCTGCCCACTGTTTCGCATCGTACTTAACGCCGGACAGTTGTATTATCTCGATAACTACCTCTAGTAACGCTAACGATTCAATTTTTAGGGGGAAGTCTCCCAGTGGCAGACACCTAAGATTTTTAGTAAGAATTGACTCGTGTTATCAGTTATCGAGATAATAAAAGTATCCGGCGTTAGGTTCCGTCCGGCGTTACGGGACTTTCTCCTAAAAGAATTGGTGCACGATGTTTTGCTGGTCCTACATACAATACAATATAAAGTTTTCTTGAAAATTACGAAGTGCTCCATACATACTACCACCCCCTGTTTTAGGGAAGTGGTGGGTTAGAAAGAAACGAAATGTAGCATATGCTATTTTCAATCCTTTCAACTATCTCCACTCAACAAAAAAACACCTATAATTTTCTAACCTAATATAAATTATAAATAATAAAATTATAAATTTTAACCTAAAATACCTATAAAGTATAAGTAAGTACATTTCGATTTTATCTGACATATTTTTAGGCTCGTTAGCCGAGTGGTCTCAAGTGCGACTGCCGGGCGAGGGGTCTCGGGTTCGATTCCCGGGTCGGGCAAAATATTACAGGGTTTTAAAAAAATTCTCAGTAGTAGCACGGAGTCTGGAATTGTGCCCGGTATATCGCAATAGGCTCACCCCCTATTACATGGGACTCATAGCATAAATAGTGGAAAGTGGGTGTTACTTTGTACAGCATAATGTAACCTCTGCCTACCCCTTCGGGGATTAAAGGCGTGATGTTATGTTATGTATTTTTGACAAGTGAGTTTCATGTCAATGGATCATTGACAATTTTTTTTGTTATCATGATATAACATTATCGTGTGCAAAGAGAGCTGAATCTGGGGGCCCGGCAGTGCCCTCACCAAGTCGAGCAAAAAGCGTCACGGCCGTACCATTCTGTTCGCGATCTCGAAGTAATTCAGGCCATTTTCGACCCCCTGTAACTTCGTTGTGGATAAAACTAGAAGACTGAAATCAGTAACCACTACAAGTATTCAGTAACCACGCAGGCTTGTAAAGACACGGTATATTTCAAATTTCATTCAATTTGAACCAGTATTTTAAGAATTATAACGGGTCAAATTTCTTAATTTTGTCACTCACTCACTGACTGACTCACCGATTATCAAAATTCTAAGGCACTTATAGCAGACCTAGAAGTTTCAAATTTGGAATATAAGTAGTGTTTGGTGTATGAATCAAGGAAAAACCAAAAAATCTAGAAAAGACCGGTATAGAGGGTGCTGTCGCAATGCCACGTATATACAAAACTAGCTGTTGCCCGCGACTTCGTCCGCGTAGATTAATGACTTCTGACAGAATTCATCAGGATCAATTCAGTGCCCAATTAAGATGTACCTATTGTGAAATGATTTATCGTAATTT